AATTTCCTTAGAATCTTGAACGTTTCCTGCAAATGGGCCAAATGGTCCTCTGCGCACAGGGACTTAACTAGCATGTCATCAATATAGACTTCCATCGTTTTACCTATTTGTTCTTCGAACATTCTGTTTACTAGGCGTTGATAAGTAGCTCCTGCATTTTTTAGCCCGAAGGGCATTACGTTATAACAATATGTTCCATATCGGGTCACAAATGAAGTCTTTTCCCGATCGTCCGGGTTCATCTAAATTTGATTATACCCGGAATAGACGTCGAGAAAGGTGAGAATCTCGTGGCCGGTCGTGGCATCGATCATACGATCGATGTTGGGCAGTGGAAAGGAATCTTTGGGGCATGCTTTGTTCAAATCCTTATAGTCCACACACATTCTAAGTTTGTTTCCTTTTTTAGGTTGAACAACCACATTGGCTAACCATTCTGGGTATTTTACTTCCCGAATGGACCCTATCTTGAGAAGTTTGGTTACCTCGTCCTTTATGAATGCATGCTTTTCCTCCGACTGGGGCCTTCTTTTTTGCTTCACCGGTCTCAACATAGGGTTCAAGCTTAATTGGTTCACCGTTATGTCCGGCGAGATCCCTGTTATATCTAGATGGGACCAGGAAAAATAATCGATGTTATTGATAAGAAATTGAATGAGTTTCTTCATGAGTTCGGGGCTCAAACCCGTTCCCAGGTATACCTTTTGTTCGGGCCAGTGTTCGATCAGTACGATTTGCTCCCGTTCCTCAATTGTTGATTTGGTGGTATTGAAATCATCGGGGGATACGAAGGATCGAGGGATCCATCGATCATCATCGTCCTCTTCAACGTTTTGCTTACCTGGCCGGGTCGAAGCCGATGTCTGTGATTGCTATTTGGCGCTCTGCTTTGAACTTGATCCTTTTATTGGTGAAGGTGAGGATATTGATTTTGCTTCTTCGACGGAGAACATTTCCTTTGCGGCCGGTTGTTCCCCGTACACTATTTTGACACCTCCCGATGTTGGGAATTTGAGGACATGGTGTAGGGTCGAGGGTACGGCTCTCATTCTGTGGATCCACGGCCTTCCGAAGAGGGCGTTATATCTCATATCACCTTCGATCACATGAAACTTTGTTTGATGGATGGTTCCGGCCACGTTTATCGGTAGGGTAATCTCACCTTTAGTGGTTTCACATGCCATATTAAATCCGTTTAGAACCAAAGTTGCAGGTACGACCTGATCCTGCAGGCCGAGCTGTTCTACGACCCTCGATCTGATGATATTGGCCGAGCTACCTGGATCAATTAACACACGCTTAATCTTAGTTTTATTCATGAGTACGGATATTACCAGCGCGTTGTTATAGGGTTGGATGATTCCCTCTGTATCTTCATCACTGAAGGATAAAGTCCCTGTGGGTGTATGATCTTGAGTTCGAGATCGCTTCACAATCGACGTTTTAGCGTGTTTAAGCATCGATCCCTGGGGGGCATCGACGCCGCCGACGATCATGTGAATGACGTGTTGCGGTTCTTCTGGCTCGTTTCACTTACCGAATTCCTTGTCTCTAAAATGGTTCTTCGCCCTATCGCTCAGAAATTCCCGAAGGTGCCCTTTGTTAAATAAGCGGGCCACTTCCTCTCTTAGTTGCCTGCAATCTTCCGTCTTGTGACCATGGGTGCCATGATATTCGCACATTTGATTGGGATTCCTTTGGGCAGGATCGGTTTGCATGGGTCGAGGCCATCTGGTGTCTTTGATGCGTCCGATGGCCGATACGATGGTGGATGTACCAATGTTGAAGTTATACTCCGATAGTCGAGGGATTTCTATAGGATCTATATATTTATCAAAGCCGCTCTTGATCATAAGTCCCCAAGAATTTTGCCCCCGATCAATCCTTCGGTTGTTCCGAACTGTGTCACGTGCTGAACCGTTGTTCATCCGATCTGTGTCGTACGGTTGGTATCGATCTCTGTTCGACCTTCGTTCTCTGTTGGTTTCCCTTTGATTTTTAGTGGTTGTGTGGTTCTGACATACGGTCCCATACAGAGCTCCCAATTGATCATCTTCGACCCTGATTTTTGATTGGTACCGGTTGTGTACATCTGCCCAAGTTATTGTTGGGTACTCGATCAAATTTTGTTTCAGTCGATGTGATGCTGTCGAGCTTAGCCCGTGCAGTCCTTGGGTGAAAGCTTGTACGGCCCAATCGTCTATGATCTGTGGCAAGTCCATACGCTCTATTTGAAATCGGGATACAAATTCCCTCAGCATCTCGTTACCCCTTTGCTTTACTTTGAAGAGATCTGATTTCCTTGTTACAACCTTTATGGCACCAGCATGTGCTTTTACGAACGAGTCTGCTAACATGGCGAAAGAATCAATGGAATTCGGTGGTAAGTTGTGATACCATATCATCGCTCATTTTGCGAGGGTCTCTCCGAACTTTTTCAACAACACGGATTCGATTTCATCATCCTCCAAATCGTTGCCTTTGATGGCGCATGTGTAGGAGGTGACGTGTTCATTAGGATCGGTCGTATAGTTATATTTGGGAATTTTGGGCATACAGAATTTTTTGGGAATTGGTTTTGGGGCCGCGCTCGAGGGAAAAGGCTTTTGTATGAATTTTTTCGAATCGAGCCCTTTTATCATTGGCGGAGCCCCCGGAATTTGATCGACCCTAGCGTTATACGTTTCCACTTTTTTGTCGTTGGCTTCGACTCGCTTTGTGAGTTCCTGGAGCAATTTAGCAATTTCAGGAGCAGTCCCCGATTCCTGCTCGTTTGATTTCACTACGGCGGATTCCGTTCTAGGGTGACTTCTCGAAGAAGCGGATTGGAGTTCGGTCCGCTTTGCATATGAGTTTGGCTCTGCAACTGAGCTATCGCTGCTTGTTGGGCTTGCAACATTTCGAAAATCATACGCAAGATGACCCCGATTTCCCCCGTGCTGTAGGTGTCTCGGGCTATGGATCGAGCACCGCCCTGAACGCTCATCTCCGGTTCAGAACGATGATTCGCTTCTAGAGCTATTTGCGAATTGATATCCAGTGGTACTTCGGCTCGAATTTCGGGCTCTTCGATTCGAGCCTCGTTGCCGTTGTCAGGTAGCCTTCCGGCCCCGGGCACCAAGTTGTTGGTTTCATCTTGAAGGCCGGCTTCGAAGTCGATAGGTAGAGCCATTGGTGATTCGAAGTTGTAAGATGGAGTGTACTGTAGATTTATATCAAACAATCACCGTTACCCTTAGCCCCACGGTGGGCGCCAAATTGTTTACCCGAAAAATCGGATAACGTTAAATTTAGATATTGTTCTAAGGGTATGCAAATTTCTTTGATACAAAATGACGATACAGGTATTTTTTGCTATGAAATGGGAAAATGATAGACGGGAAGACTAAAAAATATTAGAAGAACAAGTACAATAAAATCTTCCTCCCCCTATTGCAGTCTATCTCCCTTTTTATAGTAGGGGTCACTACTTTATTTGTAATAACATAAAATAATGCATATAGTGGAGAACCCATGATGGTTTGTCTCTCCCTTGATTCTCGCCAAGATTCTCTCCCTTGGTGCGGTTGTAACGGCTCTTGTCTGCGAGCTTGACACTGACTCGAGCTTGGTGCTAGATCGAATCCCCAGTCTTAGTTCGAGCTTGGTTCTGCCTTGGAGCTAGCATCGATATTCGGGGCCTGTGTCGGTCGTCGTTACCCCGTAGTCCGATTCGGACGCGGGCTCGATGATGATATCGAGTTTTGCGGTTGATTGGTCTTATAGCTCGAAGCTCGACGTCTCTACTTCGGAATTCATCAGAACTCGCTATGCGGATACCCTTCGATTGAAACGTCATTGTCTCGACCGGTCTTTATGACTGAGAATCGGTTTTGACCGTACACAAATATGCTGAAAATAATTTAGTTTGAATAGAAGTAGCATAATAGGTTTGGGAATTAGGATTTTGGGTTAATTATTTGTTGGCTTGTAATTGTTTCATAATTCCAAGGCCTAAGAAAAAAAGTTGATGTTTTATTATTTTTAAACTTAATATATAAATATATTTTTCACATTGTAAATTTATTCGGTACGGTTCGATATTTTTTCGATTTATTTTCATAAAATAAAAGGCATACCCTAATTATCGGTATGGTTATAGATTATGTAAAAAACCTATGATTTTATTACAAGTAACTTAAAAATCGATTCGGTACGGCACGGTTCAGTTGATTTAGTTGATTTTTAAATATTCATTAACACCCCTAGTAGCCAGCAACTATTTGTAGCAATACGACTTTGTTATTATGCTATTATTCTTTATTGTTTTACACTAAAGCTTTCGTGCACACAACCAGGCATTGTGAAATTACTTTCAACTCTTGGCATAAATATTTTATTTTATGTCTAACATTTTGATTCTTATGGGTCGGTCGCTTATCCTAGTGTTCTCCACTTATTCTTTATGCGATTCAAACCTAGCTTATGAGTTTACTAGGGATGGTGTTTGGTTCCATTTGAGTCGGTTTTATGTGGAAAGACATATGCTGAGACAATGTTTCTTTACACTTGATAATATCAAGTATGAATATGACTGATTGAATCAAATCTTACATAAAGTCTGAAAATCGTTCAAACCTTGATCTTTTATTTTTCTTTAATATTAAATTCTAATTAATAGTATCCTCCTTTTCCCGATCTATCTCCCTGTAGAAGCACAATATTCATGGCGAAGGACTCCGCAATCTCCCTCTTCATATCTCACATCTCCTCAGGCGTCAGCTCAGTAGATGAATTAAATTACGGATCCAGCCTCTAACACAAGGGAAGCAAGAAACAATAAATGGAAATTGCCACGACCATCCATTTTCAGTTCCTTTATCAATTTCCATTCACTGTGACAAACATGACCAATCAGTCAATCAACTCCAGCAGGTGCTCTCTCTCTCTTTCTGTGTGTGTGTGTGTGTGTGTGTGTGTGTGTGTGTGTGAGAGAGAGAGAGAGAGAGAGAGAGAGAGAGAGAGAGATTAAGCTTTTAGCATCAACACAGAAGTAGTTTATAGAAAACATATAAACAAATCATGGAACAACAATTAAACATGCCATAGATCCACACCATAAAAGAAACGAAAATTTTAAAGTATAGTTTGTTCCAACTTGGTTTTTCGTCTGCCAATCTAACTGAATCTTTCAAAATGCATTCCTTCCATTGAGAAGCAGTCCTTCACTTCTACTCGGGAAAAGATGGCTGTGTGCTGAAGAAGAGAGATACTCGTCACCATATTTATGTAGTTTGCATTCAAGGTGAATAACAGGAAGAAACATGAGGGAGCAAAATCACACCTACCGGACTCCGGACCTAATTGCTCCAAACAAAACTGATTCCTTGAGCTTTACGAAATTCATCAGAGAATTTAGCATCCAATAAACAACGCGCAGGTTCAAGTATTTGATTCACTCCCTCATGCTATCATTGTCAGCTTCCTCTTCACTTAAATCAAGATCAGCCAACAATTCCTCCAATGCGACAGTAGGGGCATCATCCCCATCAGCCACAGATGCCATTTCTGATGGCTGATACTCCCTGTTGCGATAAAGAGATATGTTGAATCTCAAATCAGGATTCTCCTCTAAATCTCTTAAGAATTGTTCATACTCAGAGCTCATCTTCTCTTCATGGTCTCTACCCTTTACATTGTCATCAATCTCCATATTTAGAGATTTCAGTTTCCATGAACGAGGCTTCCCACACTTCTTCTGCCATTTCTCTTCATAGCTTTTCTTAACAAGTATCACATCTGGGAGAACAAAACCTTTATACTTGTCCAGCTCATTATCATTACTATTAGCAGCATATAAGTCATACCCAAGTGCATAATCCCCAGGATTTAGAAGATGCCCCAGATGTGTTCGTACATTGAAAATTGTATCATTCTTGCCAAAATCAGATACACGAGCTACTTGGGCATCTGCCAAAGCGTACTTAGATCCACCAATATTGACCTCAGAAGAAACACTCTCAACATCTAGAACTATATATTCCACAAGCTGCCTACTCGAAAGTAGGGACTTAAAAGACGCCCTCCAATACTGTTCCGCGTCCAGAAAACAGTTCCTGAGAGTAAATGGGTCAAGTAAAGCAATGTTATTACTCACCTTGGTGCAGATCACAAGTGGCCCTAGATTCCCCAAACCATCTTTAACTTTTGGCGGAAGACAAATCAAGTCCTCACGGCAAACTGGGCAAATTTCAACTGAAAAAGTATACTTGTAGTTGTAAATGCTGCTCTTGGTATCATGAGACACCAGTTGTTTGTCATTACGGCTCCGAATTGGAACCACTTTCCCTATAAACTCCACAAATTTCACAGCATGACTACGATTAGAGAAGAAAATATCAATTCCTTGATCCATTTGCTTAATCCTTATAGCACGAGCAGCGGCATCATGCTTAAGAATAAGCTGTTCCAAATAGAAGAACGTCCGCCTGTGAGAAACATGCTGTCGCAGTTGCACTGCAGCCACCCACTGGTCGGGATTAGCCTGAACCCTCGTACAAGATTCACACATTTGGTCTTGGATAACATATTCAACAGTATAGGCCTGCTCAAGGATAGCTCCGTGAAGAACCTCTTTCTGAACCTTCAGCTTGACTTTGATTCTCTTGGAATGAGGCTCGGTCCAAATAAACTCTGCATGTACTAAACGAACTTTATTCAAATTCTTCAACCTCTTCACACAGAATGTCAGT